ACTCCACTCACTCACTCCACTCACTCACTCCACTCACTCACTCCACTTTGCATCCTGCTAGCACTGCCCGCCGTGGTGGGGATAAGACCACTTGATAGCTTTGATGGCGGTTTCGAGTGTGTTACGTTTTGAAGGTCTCATGCGGATCTGATCGCAAAATCCAGAGCCTCCAAACTTCTCTCTCCGCCTCCTTCTCTCTCTCTCTCTCTCTCTCGTCCCTCTCATCCTTGTTCATCACATCATCAGACACTTCATCACACACCCACACACACACACACACACGCACGCCATCTTACCACACACACACACCCCTCCTCCCTCCCCTCCTTCTCATCCTCGTCCATCACATCATCATACTGCACGTCTCAGCACAACCGCCTCATATACCTTCTCTCCTCACACTTCGTTCTTGACTTTTCATCTCACTACTCCGTCTCCCATGTGATGTTCATATACACTTGAAATTTGTAAAACTTATGATGTGGGGTTATCCGGTCCTTTTATCTTTTGACCTTACCACCTTTGGAGTTGATTCATGTCTTTGTTTTGCATTCTTACGATGTGTCTTTAGAAGATCTATATTGCTAGGATCATGTGGGGATCCATGTAGCCGTTTTAGTCAGAGGGCAGTGTTTTGATGTTCATCAGTGTGGCCTGTAGCACAGCTTTCTCGATGCATCACACTCATAGGCACTGAGAGTAATCTCCCTGGGCGATTTTCTAAACATGCACTACAGCCTAATCGTACCTAATAGCCATGGCCTCCAACCTACTAGCTTCTTGCTCCTAGTAGTAAGGGCAGGAGCCCCTAGTAGCGTCCGATCGCTCCTAGTAGTGATGCCCTTTGCTCCTAGTAGCTTCTTGTTACCAACAGCGATGGCCTCCAACCCAAGAGCAATGAACATGCACTAATTTGTCCAAGCCAAACCAGCGAAGGACAGAGATCGGGACAAGGAGAGGGTGTGATCGGGAAACGAATTGGGTTCAGAAGAAGTCATCCCAAAGTTCCTCGTGCTGACAACTGAAGGAATTAAGAAAGATCTAAAGAGAAACGAAAACAGAAATACGAAAGGAAAAACACAAACTGCCTTCAAAAGCTTTCATTCTTGTCAGTTGGATGTTTAATATATTTCCGTCGCGAGTATCAAATTGTTAGTGTGCATATATATATATATATATATGTATGTGTGTGTGTGGAATCCTTGGAATGACAAGGAATCCGTTGATTTTGTTTGGTTTTCGTTTTCACTTTTGATCAACTAGAGAGCAGGGGGACCATCCATGTACTGTGCGCGATGGTCCAACGAAGCGGCCACAGTACATGCGGATATCACGGCTGATCACCTGCTCCATTTGTGAATGTTGATAGCTACATCCCACTCTACTTTCAGGCTGTTTAGGTGGAGGTAGGTCGGCAGACTCTGCACGTTTCGTCATCCTTGTCGACCGCTCGACTCTTGCTTTGGCATTTGGGGATTATTGGAATCTTTCTTGGAGGTTTGCGCGGAGAGCTCAAGCTCACTTACTCCCCTGGTTTCCTTAGGCTTTTTACTTAGTCTGGCGTGTGGCAAACCGCAGTCGTGTCAGCACGCATTATCTTGAGTATGTGTGTGTGTGCTTGTGTCTGTGTGTGTTGTCTAATTCATATATGATACTGGTGTAACTAGTAGTGTGAGGTCTCTCCACTGCGTTGCGTTTAGGAAATCAAACATGGATACCATTCGGGTACCTGTTTTGTCCGATCAGGACAGAGACCGTCGAAGAGATCGAAGTCGGGAGAGCGGGGATCGGGGCGGCCGGGCGGTTGGGATGTGGTCTTGGGGCCCCTGTTACTAGTAGCGTCCTTGCTCCTAGTAGCGATGCCAGGAGCCCCTAGTAGCTTCTTGTTACTACTAGTAAGGCACTTGTTACTACTAGCGTGGCACTTGTTACTAGTAGCGTCTTGCTCCTAGTAGCGATGCCCTTTGTTCCTAATGCCATTTTGTTTCTACAGGGCACTGTCATCACTCGAGTATGCATAAACTCTTTTGACATGCGTGTGTATTATGTTGTTTTTCACGGGCTGCACTTGCTTCGCAGTAGCCAAGCAAAGCACTGTGATCTTTCCTTGCCAAGCAGATGATCACTGATTTTAGTTTCCTCTCGTTTCTGGTCAGGTTTCCTTGTGGTTTTGGAGTTGAGCATACCTTTGCAATATGGCAAACGCATTTTGATCAAACCAACACATTATCGACCAGTCCCCACGAGTGTTCAACGATCGAGAAGACTTGCACTTAATTCATCATTTGATGTGGCTGGTGTTGGGAAGTGAATTCAGGGGTGAAGATCGTGACTCATGATGACTGCATGCAAACATACATTATTTTTGCGTTTGCATTTGCATTACATTACACTACATCATTCGGTTTAAAAGCGTTGTGTCCCTCCCTTCGTGATAGCCTTTGATGGGCACGAGGACAGAAGGCGAGACAAAGACCGGGATAGAGACGGTGAAAAGAAGAAGGACAAGAAGGAATGTCACCTATTCAGCGCTTGGATTGATTTTGTCCATAAAGATCGCAACAGCGTGTTCTGTTCAGAACCATCACAGCTTTATGAGGTCCTCAATGTGTTGAAACCGCGCACTGGACATATGTGCCATAAGTGACATGCAGACAGATGTGACATAGGTGCGGTCCAAATCGTCGCGTGTGCCGCCATCTCTGCTGTGCTGGGGTCATGTTCTAGGGTAGGAGCGCAGCACAAACTGGGAGAGACAAAGAAAAGGCTGAAGCGAAATGAAGGGGCATTGAAGTGCTTGCTTCAATGACATCCCTGTCCTTTGAGTTGTTTGACTTAGAACCGCAGGAGAAAGAAAAGGACAGGGACAAGGACAAGGAGCATGAGAGAGAGAAAGAAAGGGAGGAGGCTGAAAAGAAGGTAGAGTTGGAAAAGGCTGAAAAGGCCAAGGCGGAGATGGAAGCCCTGCAAAAAGCCGAGGCGAGGGCTCCTCCATCAGGCTGACCAATTTTTGCTGACAGTATGAGTGTGTTTGGCATGAACCCTGCATGGACGAAGCTCGCCGAGCTTCTTTGTTGCGCAAGCCTTGCAAGTGGGCATCAGACAAGGCCAGGTAAAGCCAAGCAACGCCTCAGCTGCCACACCCCCCATTGGGGAAGGTAAGACTGGCTGGCCAGCTAAGTTTCAAGGATTCTTGACGTTGTCGTCTTTGTTTTTGTTGTACAAGTGGTTAGACACCCCCTGATTTTCAATGATAACAAGTTGTTCCAATGCGCAGCAGCATTTCGAGAGAGAGAGAGAGAGGGAGGGGGGAGGGGAGCAATCACAGTGTTTAAGCGTCTCTCAAATATATCGTTTGTGAGAAGATCACGACTTGGTCCTAGTTGAATGTGATGTTGTAGTCACTTGCGGACCTGGCTAAGAAGACAGTTCTTTCAGAAGGCCACTCACCAACAAAATGCGTGCAATTATGTAGAAGGAAGATGTTTGTCCAACGTTTGCCAACAGGAAGGACAAGATCTTTAAGTCTAAAGGAAAAAGAACAGAGCGAATGGAAAACGAAAGAGAAAAGGAAGGAAGGAAGGAAGGAAGGAAGGAAGGAAGGAAGCAAGCAAGCAAGCAAGCAAGCAAGGAAGCAAGGAAGCAAGGAAGCAAGGAAG